TGCAGGGTAAAACGGATTTATCTGGGTTTAGACCCCATTGGGAGTTGGGCATCTGAGTGCTAAAGACAAGCACACTTCTGTGAGCTGTTTTCGGGTAAACTTGCAGCTCTGGGACAAGTGATTCAGACCCTGGGTCTGTGTTGGAGCAGACGGGAGTGTCTGGCTCAGCAAGACAGGGTGCTGGAGTCCTGAGCTGGCAGGGAAAACAGGAGCAGAGGTAGTCTTTGCACATCGGGTGGCAGCTCCCAAGGGGGTTTCTGTGATCCAACCCGTCACAACAATATTCTAACATATCACCTCTGTATGTATAACAGATTCTCTAGTATAAAGGTAAGATATTTTCAGGTCAACATGGTCATTTTTCAATTTAATCCATATTTTAATTTAATTCAAATACCACCTATTATTTCACTGTATTACTTCCCAATTCATATTTCATTTAGTTGAAATTCTCATTTAAGACACTGTCGAAGTTAAAACCATAGTCCTTTTTAAGGTTATGTTGCTTATGGAACAGCACTGTCTGACCAGGTAAATACACATACTGGGCCAAATCCCACCCTGTTATGTAAATCAATCCCTCGAATGCAGTGGGGCTACACAGGTATAAGAGCACAATTTCGGTCATTATACCGAATTATTTTGTTTCCTTTATGAAAAAGAGTTCAGAAAGTTGCTGCCATACAAACGTACCCCCAAAGAACAATTCCAAACCCATCTTGCTCTAAAGATTTTAGAATAAAGATTATGAACTTCACTAGGCACCAAACACCATGAAAATAAGACAATTGGTTGGTCCTGTTGTCAGCAATAATGTGGAATAAATGCATCAAGTGATTTATACTTACTTCCCAGAGTTCATAGATTTCTTTTCTCAGACCTTCTGATAGCAGCTGGGTCAAATGTTTCATAGCTGCCTGCAAGACAGACTCCTGCTTTCATTTGGCCATTATCTGAGTACAATATCTTTTCCTTTGTTTTCTGGAAAACAATTTGTCCACCACCACCTTTGTATAAACAGTGAATCATCTCTCTCTCCACAGCTGCACACGTACAGTACTAACTCTGCTAATGGAACAATAAAAGCAATGGGTACAGAATAGCTTCTGCACCCCAGACCTGCTCAATAAATTGCAGAGGACTAGCCCCAAGCAGCAGAAAATAATCTGAAGCACCATCCACTGACCCCAGGTACCAGATACTGTTTAACACTGTTTTGATGCAATACCAAATTATTGGTATGAACAGTGGAATCCTCTTTGCATGTTGTTCCAACTAATCAATTTCATTCTAGTCCTACTCTGTTTCCCCAGTAATACTTGGGTCCTAATTGGAAACAAATAACAATAAAAGCAAGGCCAAGTTTTATGCCAATATACAGTTATGTCGAAACTTACCACTCAAGGTGTTATTTTATACAAAGATAGCACTTAAGAAGTATAAATATTTAGGGCTCAATCCTGCACCCGAAGAAATCAATGACAAGACTCCTGTTTGCTTTAATGGGACCAGGAGGAGCAACAGGCACGTAGGGCCAGATTTTTATAGGTATTTGGTGTCCTAAAGATGCAGACAGCTCCCTAGGCCCTTTTCCTACTAGGCACCTACCTGCATCTTTAAGCACCTAAATGCCCTTAGTCTGGCCCTTAGTGGAGAAACATTCCCAGCAGGCATTAGGGAAACCATTTTTTTTATATATATATATATATATATATATATATATATATTTTTTTTTTTAAAAAGAGCACACTCCAAACAGGTACATAATAGAACAGAACAGTCAATGTTACAGTGAATAAAGATAGCATTTAAAGAACTCTGAATAGCCATTTAATCTTTTAAGTCCAATCTTCTTTTCACCAGGAACATATTGCTAGAATTATTTTTAAAAAAAATCTAAATAAAACAGTAAGCATAAGAGTGGCAGAGAATTCACTGTAAGACTGTTTTTCTTTTAGACTCTTTAAACAACTTATTTGTATCCCTTGGAAAAGATTGTTAAGTAAGGTGGTGCCCTCTAGCTGTAATTGTAGGAAAACTTTTCCCTTTTAGCTTTAAATAATACAGAGAGCCAGAAACTGTGATTAATGGATATGTTTGTGGCCATCATTAAAGCCAAAGACTATGTACTCAGACAGTTGCATTTGTTTGTCAGGCTCACTGATTACCTGCCACACAGACGTACTGTAAGAATAAACAGGTAAAGTGTGTATGATACTTTGGAAGTGTCCAGTGCAGGGGTTCTCAAAGTGGGGGTTGTTACCCCCACTTCATTTTTAATTTATAAGGGGAAGTCACACTCAGAGGCTTGATATTTGAAAGGGGTCAACAATACAAAAAGTTTGAAAACCACTGGTCTAGTGCCATGTGTCAAGTATTAACTATCTGTCCCTCTCTCTTCTGACCTGTGCCTCTGCTCCCCAGAAAATAAGCATGGACATACATGAGCAACTTCACTAACATCTCAGACTACTGAAAATCCAGTCAATTCATTTGGCAGGTGGTTGATGTTTGGGTTCGTTCAAAAAACTTCCCTTTTATTATCCTGCACTTTGTGGTGTTATGTAGACAAGTCAAATTAGCAGGGTTTTTAGTGCTACTCCGTGGCATACATGCACAAATTCATGTTCTGTATTATGTTGTTTTGAGGGTCTCCCCAATAACTAGTTGTTCACCTCTACAAATAAAGTGCAAAGCCTTTACAAAGTTCTACAGAGTACCAGGCTGCATCTGCAACCATACCAACCTCCTCTCGCTGATGTTTCTCCTCTTTGGAGATGTTATCTGCAGGTGCTATATCTCCAACAATGCATTCAGCCATATCATGAACCAGAGCTAGCCGTACACATCTGATAAGGAGAGAAACACTGCATGATTAGCCAATAAACTTTATAGTTACACTTTGTTTATTAATAAGCAGTATTGATAAACTCTCCCTCCCCCTTATATTATAATAGATCAGTATTAGTGAAATAATTTTCCATCCCATAGTATATTTGAATCCCAATTTCTAGTTACTGTTATGTATGAAAAGATATTTGGATAGATATCCAAAACCAGAAAGCCTTGTTTGGGGGAGGTGTGCGGATGGAGGGGGGGAAGCAAAAGATACTAAGTGACAACAGTGTAGTTACCTAGCATATCATTTACCAATCCCTACCGCATAAAAGCTAAGGACATTATCCATTATACACTACTCACATGATAACAATGTTTGCATTTACTAAGTATAAAGATATAAGGAGCCCTGCCAAATTCAAAATGCCACCTGACAAAATACACATATATTATGTAGCTAAGTTAGCAACTCATGGTGGCACAGCCCAGCCTTCTTTAACAGAGTGCAGTAAAAAGCATTAAAAGCAATCAGCAAATTAAGTGCAAGTTGCAAGACTAGAACACAGATCTACGTAATGCACTAGGGCTCACAGGCTTCTAGCCAAGTCAGTGAACCTCTCTGTGCCGTAGCAACCTCATCCAAAAAAATGTGGCTGTCAATGATGCTTTGTGCTCTGACCACATCCTGTAGATCTCAAAGCACTTTACAATGGTGGGTAAGTATTACTAGTCTGATTTTTCAGTTGGCTTCAAGTTCATTCATTCCTCTGGCACAATGAAATAAGGGTGAAGCTTGCTCATGCAGAAGACAGAGCTTCTCAGGGTCCTGCCCAAGACTGTGGAATGAACTCCCCCAGAATCTAAGAACCATCACAAACCTCACCACCTTCCGATCTACATGCAAGGCACATTTTTTCCCCCACTTTGCCTTCTCTAGCATATACCTATAGTGGGAGCGGGGCCAGGAGGTGGAGGAAGAGGAGGAAGAAAAAAAAATGTATATTTTATTTTTAAAAAACTCCAAAACAAAACACTCCAGTGCACGCACTTCCCCCCTAGGAAAGAACGAGAAGAAAAACATGTGACAGCTGTTAGTAATGTTGCTTAACGCACTTACCTGAAGGCACTGAGATACTACTGTGCTGAGCATGATAATAGAACAGGGCAATTATCAAGTGCATCCAGTCCCAGCTTCTGGCAGTCAGAGGCTTAGGGAGTTGCATCCCTGATGATCTTGGCTAAAAGCCATTGATGGACTTATCCTCCATGAACTTATCTAATTCTTTTTTGAACCCAGTTATACTTTTGACCTTCAAAACATTCCCTGGCAATGAGTTCCACAGGCTGAGTGTGAGTTGTGCAAAGAAGTACTTTTTTATGTTTGTTTTAAATCTGCTGCCTATTAATTTCATTGGGCGACTCCCTGGTTCTTGTGTTATGTGAAGGAGTAAATAAACCTTCCTTATTCACTTTCTCCACGAGTCATGGTTTTATAGACCTCTATCACATCCCCCCCCCCTTCGTCATCTCTTTTGCCTGGTACTGAAATTAGGCTTACCAGCTTGTAATTGCCAGGATCACTTCTGGAACCTTTTTTAAGAATCAGCATTTATATTGGGTATCCTCCAGTCATGTGGTATAGAGGTTGATTTAAGTGATGGGTTACATACCACAGTTAGTGGTTCTGCAATTTCATATTGGAGTTTCTTCAGAACTCTTGGGTGAATACCTTCTGGTCCTGGTGACTTATTACTGTTTAATTTATCAATTTGTTCCAAAACCTCCTCTATTGACACCTCAATCTGGGACAGTCCTCAATTTTATCACCTAAAAAGAATGGCAATCTCCCTCACATCCTCTGCAGTGAAGACCAAAGCAAAGAATTAATTTAGCTTCTCCCCAATGGCCTTCTCTTCCCTGAGCGCCCTTTAGTACCCTCAATCATCCAGTGGCCCCACTTATTGGCAGGCTTCCTGCTTTTGATGCACTTAAAAAAAAATGTTGCTATTAGTTTTTGTATCCTTAGCTAGTTGCTCTTTATATTCGTTTTGGCCTGCTTAATTATACTTTTACACTTGACTTGCCAGAATTTATGCTCCTTTTTATTTTCCTCAGTAGGATTTGACTTCCAGTTTTTAAAAGATGTCTTTTGGTTTCACCACCTCTTTTACTCTGTTGTTTAGCCATGGTGGCTTTTTTTGTTTTAATTTTTTTGACCCTCTTGCTTTTTTGTGGGTTGGGAGGGGCAGGAGAAGAGAGGCAGGAAAATACATTTAGTTTGAGAGAATTTTTTAAAAGTTTCTATGCAGCTTGCAGGCATTTCACTCTTGTGACTGTTCCTTTACATTTCGATGTAAGTAGCTTCCTCATTTTTGTGTACTTCTCCTCTTAAATGCTACTGTGGTGGGTTTCTTTGGTATATCTCCCCCCCCAGGTTGTTAAATTTAATTACATTATGGTCACTATTACTGCACATCTTGGACCAGATCCTGTGCTCCACTTAGAACTAAATCAAGAATTGCCTCTCCCCTTGGGGGTTCTAGGACTAGCTGCTCCAAGAAGCAGTCATTATTGGTGTCTAGAAATTTTATCTGTGCATCCCATCCTGAGGTGACATGTTCCCAATCAATATAGGGATAGTTGAAATCCCCCATTATTGTTACATTTTCTGTTTTTGTAGCCTCTCTAATCTTCCTGAGCATTTCACAATCACTATTACCACCCTGGTCAGGTTGTCAGCACGGTAGAACCTATAGTTACGAACACCTCAGTAATGGAGGTTGTTTGTAACTCTGAAATGTTCACAACTCTGAACAAAACATAATTGTTCTTTCAAAAGTTTACAACTGAATATTGACTTAATACAACTTTGATGCTTTACTTCAGAAGAAAAATGCTGCTTCCCTCCTCCCCCTTTTTTTTGTAATTTATGTTTAACACAGTACTGTACTGTATTTGGGTGGGGGGTTTTTTCTGATCTCTGCCTGATTGCATATTTCTGGTTCCCAATGAGGTGTGTGGTTGACTGGTCAGCTCGTAACTCTGAGGTTTTACTGTAGTATATTCCTACTGCTATACTCTTGTTATTCAAGCATGGAATTTCTATCCATAGAGTTTCTATGGTATAGTTTGATTCACCTTTTTTTTTTTCATTTAAACTATATTTGACTCTATGCTTTCTTTCACGTATAGTGTCACTCTCCCACCAGCATGACCTACTCTGCCATTCCTATATATTTTGTACCCTGGTATTACCACATTCCATTCCAGCAAGTTTCTGTGATGCCTATTATATCCATATCCTCATTTAATACCAGTCATTCAGGTACACCCATCTTAGTATTTAGACTTCTAGAATTCGTATACAAGCACTTATAAAATTTGTCAGTATGTAGTTGTCTGCCTCCACGTGGAGATGAATGGGACTTTTCCCTTTGTTTCTCTTCAGTTCCTATCTGTATTTTGTCAACTTCTATCCTCTCCTCTCCTCTTCACTAGGATGTAGAGTGTCCCCGTTAACAGAGCATCTCCTAAGGGATGCCTCTGTCCAAAGTGTGTGCTCCTCTGCACCTGTTGGCTCTCCCCCAGCCCGTAGGAGGAAATCAAGAATCTGTTCCACCTCTGCCACAAATTAGCTATGGAACTTCTGCCATGTCAGTCAACTCTCTGGGCCTGATTCTACAGTGCCTTGCACCTCAAATGTATTGACACCTGTGCAAAGCAAGTCTAAAATGCTACCATTCTGATGCTATTGTTTTATAACCTTTTCACACTCACTTCTCACTGATGTCAATAACTACACAACGTATAAGGCAGTAGACAATCAGGCCCTGTGTTTCTGAGTTATCCATTGAAAAAGGAGCCATGCATGTTCTCTGCTAGGCCAATGGACCATTCTGGTGGGCAGTGCAGGAGTCAGTGTCAGTAACATGATTTAAAGTGGTTTATACTTCCTGAAGCTTCATTAGAAAAGATGAGTTCCAAGTTACAGAAGTCTATTATCATCACTTCAGAAAGGTGACAAAGCAAATATGATACTGTACCACTCTTGACAGCTGATACAATGCTAATTATGTTTTCCTTTATATGCTAAATTAATTACATTTTTTTATTTCTCTCAAGTGTTAATAGAATCTCTGTCAAAAACTACATAAAATATGGATTTTGCTTCACCATGCACTTCAAACTCCTCTTTGAACGGGATTCTTCAGCCTTCTTATGTACATCTCTTGAGAGAAATCAAGCTGGAACTATTCTGTGTTAGCAGACTGTCCAAGCCTCCACTTTTAGCTAATAAAACAACTCCTCAGTCTTCAACTCCAGAAGGCACATAGCAACTTGTGAAAGATGATCAATTTTGATTCCCCCTCTGTATTCTAAAACTCCTTGCCAGGGTGTAATGAATAATTAGTTCTCAGTTCCCAAATCTCCAGACAGGCCTGATCATTACCATTAGTATTCTTACCTGTCTTTATTAAGTTGTTTATCTTCAGTTACCAAAGCCATGACTGCCATCCTGTACATATGATCTGATACACTCTCTGGTTTCTCTACATTCCTGTACACCCAGCCTGTTCGTGGTACTCTCTGCTTGGAGATAGTTTTAACAATATAAAACATTCGAATAAACGTTCTGAAGAATTTAGCTTAAGAGATACCAATGGAAATTTGTTCCATTAAGAGTAACCATTTCCTTCTCATGCATAAATGAAGCCTCAATGTTAGTGAAAAATAAATGTTACAAAGCCAGAGTTAGTTTGAAAGTACAGGCGATTGATCCTGTGAAAAACTCTATTGCAATATACTACACACACAGCACACACCACCAGAAAATCTGTCCTTTTCAGCTTTCAGAGACCATTTCAGCTTGATTAACCACACACATTCAGTATGAATAAATAATATTCAGCATTTAAATAGCACTATACCTCTTCAAAGCATTGGTCACACATTAACTACTGTAATTAATCTTCACTCCATCTCTGCAACGTAGGTGTAATTTGTATTATCCCCATTTTACAGAGGTGGAAATTGATACTAGGTACAGTTAAATTACTTGTTCAGAGGAACTAGAATTAGGGTTTGTCTTCACTACCCGCCCGGATCGGCGGGTAGAAATCGATCTCTCGGGGATCGATTTATCGCTTCTCGTCGGGACGCGATAATCAATCCCCGAATCGAAGCACGTACTCCACCAGCACAGGTAGGAGTAAGCGCCGTTGATGGGGGAGCTGCAGCGGTCGATTTGCCGCCGTCCTCTCAGCGGGTAAGTTGGATCAGATACTTCGAATTCAGCTACGCTATTCCCGTAGCTGAATTTGCGCATCTGAAATCGATCCCCCCCTCCCCCCGTAGTGTAGACGTAGCCTTAGATTCAAGAGCTTCTGAGGTAAGCCCCATGCTCAGTCAATGACACTTTTTGGATCAGCCTTCCATCCCTCAGCTGTCTGCCAACCTGCACGTGTTTCTGCTTCAAATGGTTTTTGCCAGGACCACTCTGTTCTATACTGGGAGCAAAAATCTTTGGGTTGGGCTAAAAACGTTAAAGCTGGGACTAAAGAATTTTTCAATTGATCTCATATTTTAATACGTCATGGTAGTTAAAGCCAAGACCAGAGAAAAATATATTGCATGTGTGTAGCTATCTATAGGGACTTGGATCCAGGCTGTAGTCCTATAACCCCCTGGGGTGTCACAAGACCAGTGGTGCAGGCAACAGAAACGAGTCAAGGAAACCTAGGAGCAGCATATGCTTCAGGCAGGCTCAAGCACACAAACTCCTGCAGGAAAAGACGACATGGGCTGCTGCACTCAGCCTTCCCTGGAAGCTAACAAACTAACATACAAAGTGAGATACAGCAGCAGTGGGGTTCTCAAGCAGATCCCAGACTGATTTCATTTTTTTACCCAGAGACTTGCACTGACATTTAGCTCAAGAGCGCTAGAAAAGACCCACCTACCGACATTTTAAATGGGAGTCGATGGAGAAAGGGATGTGGACTCAAGTGTGACCCTGCAGCAAACTCCTCGCAGGGTCTATTAACTGACCAGGCCCCAGGCTTTGGTTAACTGAGCACAAGACTGGGAACCCAGAGCTCCCGATTCTAGCCTCAGCTCTGCCTGCGACTCGCTTTTGTGGCCTTGGGCCAAGTCAGTCCCGCTCCCCCCGGGCAGCGAGGATCCCCAGCACCCCCTCGCGGGGCAGTCTGGAGCCTGGCCCGGGCATTGCTACCGGCGGATCCAGCCCCGTACCGAGCACACGGACCCGGCGGGCACTTGGCGAGGCCCAGCTAGAAAGTCCAGGCGGGCAGCGAGTCTGGCGGGGCT